AAGACGCGAAAGATGAGGGTGATAGTAACTTGGCGTTCTCGTTGCCGTCGGAGGTGTTGCCGGCGGGCTTGTGGTAGACGTAGGTCTGGGTGGTCGAGGTGATAGTGGACACGGAGGCGCCCTTCTTCTTGACGTCGCCGATGCGCTCTTGCAGCGCCAGAAGTTGCTGCACACACACACGCACACACACACACACACACACACACACACACACACGACACACACACACGACACACACACGACACACAAACACGACACACACACGACACACACACACGACACACACCGCATTATTGTGCTTGTAGTCAGTCATGACAACTTGCACGGCTGGCGAACGTGAAGTAGATGAGCAGCTGCGCACCTCATAGGTCATCGCGTCGGGATCGACATCGTCGTCATCGGCATCAGGGTCGTCCCAAAAGCTAATACGCCCAACACCATCAATGAACACCTTAGAAGTTCTTTCCCTGTCGTGTCGTGTCGTGTCGTGTCGTGTCGTGTCGTGTCGTGTCGTGTCGTGTCGTGTCGTGTCGTGTCGTGCATTGCGTACCGCCCGTGGCGATGGCGGTGCCGATGTCGGTGCCTCGTGCGTTCGCCGTCCCCACCGCCGGTGCTGGCGGCTGCCACGTCAGCGGGAGCGATAGTGCTGAAGACGGGAGTGAAGTTGCGTCGAAAGTACGAAGTCGGCGCGGGGGCCGCCGCAGCCACAGCGGCGTCGGCGAGTTGCCGGCGCTGCCGCTCTCTATCCCGCCGGCTGCCGTCGGTGGCATCGTCCAGACGAGCGCGCGCGGCCTCCGTCTGCTCGCGTAGCTCCCTCGTACGCTCGTTTAGGCTGGTCAGAATCGCCGTCGTGTCGTCCATTGGCGCCACATAACCTACACCCACCACCGCACCACCGCACCACCGCACACGCAACACAGTTAACAGCCAGACGCGTCGAGAGGGGGTGAGTGTGTGTGACGCACCCTCTTGCCGAAGCTCCTGCGCGAGCCGTCGTGCAAGCCTTTCATCAGACATGCTCCTGTTCAATTCATCATGCAGCGCGCTGACAACGGCTGTCACGTGAGCTTTCCACCACGCACCGCACCGCACGCACACCGCACACACCGCGCACCGCACACGCCACATGCCGAGAAGTGAACGTACCGGGCCAACTCTTCGTCGGCCCGAAGCTCCTCGTCAGTTGCAGCAGTTGGGGCCACTGCAATGTCGGTGATCGCGCCTCCGCCGTCGCGCAGCTGCTGCTCCAGCATCGACTCGCGCAGGGCCATCTGGAGCAGCTCCTCCTCCGACAGCTCGCCGCCCAGGCCCTGGTAGTAGTCGACTAGCCCACCACGCCCGCCCACCGGGGACGGCGCCGGCGGCGCGCGGTCGGAAACATTATCGTCGACCAGGTCGGGCAGCGCGACGATTCGGGTCGCGCCATACCCTCCGTCGCTTTCTCTCTTCTCTCCTTCGCTTTCGTTTTCGTTTTCGCTCTCTTCGGAGATGACCCGCCTGCGGTGTAGCCTGTCTCGGTCCCGATTGGCCGAGGCGAGCGGCAGGCGCCGCGGGTGCACGAGGAGCTCTTCATGGTCGTCGTCGTCGTCGGTGCTCGCCAGCGAATCGTCGAGTCGGGTCCGCTCCACGAGGTCGGTGATCGACAGCTCCAGATCATCGTCCTCGTCCTCCATGTCATCGTTGTACGCCAGGATCGCGCTGACGTAATCCCTGATGATGCCGACAAGAAATTGAGAACGATTCAACACGTCTGTGGTCTAGCGTGCGCCGTGTGTGTCGTGTGTGTCGTGTGCGCCGTGCGTGTGTCGCGTGCAGAGCGAGAGTGTGACGTACTTCTTGCTTCGGCCTTGCACGGCCACACCCTCCAACGCACAGTACTGCCTCAACACCCTGGATACGGAGAACAGAGTTGTGAGCTGTCAGGGCTGAAGTGGGACCATGGTGAGAAGGGCGATCGCACTTGAGCGGGTAGCTGTCAAGCCGATTGAGGTCGAGCGTGTCGATCGTGTCATCATCGTCACTGTCGTCATCTTCATCATCGTCGACGACGACGGTGTTCGGCATTTCGCCCGTGCTGACGCGATGACGGTTATGTAGCTCCTCCTCGTCGTCGTCGTCTTCTTCAGACGTCGACAAGATCGTGATCACCGCCGATGTCGGCGACGCTCGACGGCCCGTGTTGGCCACCACACCCCCGCCACCCCCGTACGGTTCGAGATCACTATCGTCGCTGTCGTCGCTATCGCTGCTGTCGTCAAGCCCGCGCTGCCGGTTGAGGTCGCGATAGGCCTCCATCAGCGAATCGTCCATTTGCGCGTACGACGCGTAGCCCGTGGGCGACGACGATGTGAACACGGTCGGTGCGTAGAGGTCCGGGTCGAGCTCCTTCCGGCTCATGAGCCGCGAACCGAACGGATCGGCTGTTGTGTCGTGATCGACACCCAAGCCGAGCGTAAGACTTCGCAAAACAACAACAACAACAAACTGAGCGCAACACTAGCTGGCGACGTACCACGGTGGTGGTTGGCGGTGTCGCGTTCGAGTTCGGCGAGCATCTCCTGCTGGAGCATCTGCGCGAGCAGTTCGTCCGAGATCGTGCTGTCCTCCTCGAGAGGAGGCGTCGCAACGACGCCCCCTGAGCCACGGCGACCTCGATCAGCACACGACGCACGATACAACACGCAGGCACGACACACGACGCATGACACGACACATTCTGGCGACGCACCGGGAGGCTGGCCGCTGTTGCCGTCCAACATGGCGAAGTCGTTGAGCGCGAGGTCGAGCTCGGGATCGGGCACCACCACCGCCGTTGGCGGTCGCGTGCCGGCGTTGCCGTGCAAAGGCCGCTGGCGCGACGCAACCACCTGGCGCCTCCCCGCCACAGAGGACTGCTGGTCTTGCGAGCCGGGCCGGCGTGCGTGAGGGGTGCGCCCAACCGCACCGCCGCGGGTCCCATTGGCCGTCGGGCTGCGGTCGGCGCGTCGTGACGACAGCGACCCGGACCCGCGGCGGCCACGCGCGGCAGGCGCTGACGACGACGACGAGCTGAGCGCAGTGAGCGAAGGGTAGCGAGTAGTCGATGATGACCTGTACGCGGAGGCGGGCCTGGAAGCTGTGGTAGACGGCAACGACGAGGAGGGTAGTGTGTACCTCTGGCAACCGTAGCCGCTACTTGCTGTCGTTGCCGACGACGACGGAGCACCAGTTCTGTCGGGCCTTGACGTGCTGGTGCTACTGATGCCGCTGCCTCGACGCGGTGGTGCTGGTGCAGCCGTGGCTGGTGCTGGTACTGCGGCTGATGATGGTGCAGCACCTCCAGTTTCGCCCTTGCCGTAGAGGAGCTCATCGAGCCATCTGTCGCTCATCTTTTTCAGATCTCCTCAGAGAGTTGAGATCAAGACGTCTGCAAACACCAAACAGAATGATTCTGTTATCAGCCTCTTCATCTCGTCCCAACGTAGCTTGGGAAGTTGGCACATCTGGTGCTTCAAGCAAGACGAGATGGAGATGCGCGGGGGGGGGTGCAAAGAAGCACCAGCTCCAGGCAACGACTACAATATATGGCAAGGAGAACGCACCTTCTTCACCTTCCTCCACCCGCAGGATGCGTCAGGCAGCCAGATGTGCAGATCTTCGAACACCAACAATCCACAAACGTTTTTATTTATTTCTTTTTTCAGTGCGCATTTCTTTTTGGCGGGAGGGGCGTTTTGTTTTTTTATTTATTTTTCTATTTATCTCCTATTGGGTGAAAACAACTACTGTCGGTGAAGTGAAAACAATAAGACTAGTACCCACGTATTGTTCTGGCTGGTGCAAGCACCGCTAACACACGCACAGCCACAACATCAACAACAACATGTCTGCCGAAGAGGGGAACAAGACCTTCAAGCTCACCGTGGCTACCGGGTACTCGGGCCTGCTACCCCGCAGCTGGGGCGACACCCAGAAATGGACCATTGACGTCTCGCCCACGGACACGCTGGCCGACGTGCTCACCAAGATCACCGCTGCCGGCGGACGACGCCTGCCTCCCCTGTCTTCGTTCCTCGTCGCCGCCGGCGCACACGTCAGACTGGTAAGCGACCACGGGCGGCTGCCGGACCCCAGGCCCGAGGCCACGGTGGGCGAGAACGGCCTCAGCGCCAACACCGTCCTCCGCTGGCACAACGGCGCCTTCGACTGAAGCCCCTTCACAGAATGAACATTTTTTAGAATCCTATCCTACTGTCAGTCTTCACCCAAGGTCTCAGTCCAGGGGCGGCTTCATCCAGCTGCCGTGCTTCATGATATCTGGGTAGTACTGGGCCATCCACTTGTCCTTGGCGCCCCAGAAGCCGGCGAAGTGGACCACGAAGATGTCGAACTCGCCGGCCGCGCCCTCGGGGACTTTCCTCGCCGGCGCCCCCTTCACGTACTGCATCTGGTCCTGCGGCACCTCCGCGACGCGCGACTTGACCTGGAGAAGCACCCGCGACGCACAACGTGAGTCCAAACTCGACCGCACACGCACACACGCACACGCACACGCACACGCACACGCACGAGGCAGGGTGGGGTACGTCGGAGTCGGAGTTATAGAAGGCGATGAGGCCGCGCTGCTCGGCCCACACGTCGTTGATGTACTGTTTGGAGTCCCAGATGCGGCGGAACAGGGCCAGATTCCAGGCCGAGCATCGGAGCGCCATGATGCCCGAATTGAATCCGTTTAGATCTGGTGGCCACCGGTCAGTCGTGAGTGCGTGTCGTGTGTCGTTGTGCGTGTGTTGTTGCGTCGTGTCGTGTGTCGTGTGTCGTGTCGCGTGTCGTGTGTCGTGCATGTGATGTTGTTGCATACCCTTGGAGAGTACGATCTGCTTATGCTGGTCGTTGAAGTACTGCCCGGTGATGTGCTTGATCGTGAATTCGTACCTCGCCACGAGCGAGTCGCAATCAAGCCACAGCAGCCAATCGTAATCGCAATCTCCCTCCTATCCCGTGCCCGCCACACGACGCACGCAACACGAAACACGTTTGGTTTAGGCTCGTGTTGTGTGTGTTGTGTGTGTGTGTGCGCGCGCGCGCGCGTGTGTGTGTGTGCGTGCGTTGTGTGTGTGTGTGTGTGTGTGTACTCACCCCCTCCGTGCCGGCGAGCACGTCGAGCAGGAAGGCCGTCTTGGTCCAGATGGGCGGCCGCGGCGTCTGGCCCTGGGGAGCCTTGTAGGCCGTGACCCACCACTCAAAGTCGTAGCCGTGGAGCTTGGCATAGAGCATCTTGTTCTTGATGCTCACGTCCCTGTGTGCTGCGCCCGGATCACATGACGTCATCACCTGTGTGTGTGCGTGTGCGGTTGTGAGTCGTACGCGTGCATGTGCGGTGGTGTGTGCGGTGGCGCGTGGGTGCGGTTGTGAGTCGTGCGCGCGTGTGCGTGCGTGCGCGGTGGTGCGTGTGTGGGCACCTTGACGCGGGAGCGGTGGCACGGGCCATGGACGAGTTTGCCGCTCTTGTCGACCGAGGAGTCGTGTTGCAGGTACTTCGGGGAGGTGGCGCTACACGCTCCGTTCTTGTGCTCGACAGGCCCCTCATCTCCCTCTTTTCCTTCTTCGGCGACTTTCTCCTCCGTTTCCTGTTCTTCTTCTGTTTGCTCTGCTTCCGGCCTCTCTGCTGTTTCTGCTTCTTCTTCTGCTTCCACATCTTCTTCGCCAAACACGCCATTATCGCCTCCTTGCGGCCGAGTGTCGTCAACATCGAGCCGGCCCTTTCGCGACGTGGTGCCTTATAAATAAGATTTTATTTTAGTATATTAGGGAAGATTTATTATTCTGTATTTATTGGCGCGTAGAAAGGGGGGCTGGGTACCTGTTGGGAAGCTGAGGTAATAGATGGAGCTGACAAGGACAACGATGAGCAGAAGGAGGATGGTTGATCGAAACCGCCGGGGCCAGCTGTCCATCATCATCGTTTTTCGATCTTCGCGTCAAAATAGGAGTTAAAAGAGAAAAGAATGAAGCGATTGCTTCGCTTCTCCCCTCTTTGCTGCGTGTCTTTGGTGTTGTTCGAAAGAAGACGGATGATCCAAGCAACCTTTGTGCTGGCCAATTTTATCGGACTTGACACGCCACGTCACGCTGTCGGAGTTAAAAAACTCCGATGATCTCACAGCGCAAAAGTCTCGGCGTGGAGGTCCACCGAGCCCGGGTGGCGGCCGCACACGCCGGTTACCTGCGCGCGCATGGACTCGGGGCCGCACACCAGCACCGCGACGCGGTCGGGCCAGGCCTGCCGCACCTCGTCGGCGATGATGCCCGCCAGGTCTGGCCGGCCCTGGCCCACGTGCAGGTCCACAGTGCCCGCCACTTGGGCGGTGGCCTCATCGCCCAGATCGGCGCGGGTCACGTACACGTGCGACTCGAACACGCCGGCAGAATCCAGTTTCATGTCTGGCTCGCAGAAAGTTGATGAGCAATGTGTGTCGTGCGTCGTGTGTGTCGTCTGGTGTGTACCGTTGCTGAAGGCGAGATAGAGGGCGAGCTGAGGCACCGACCAGTGCAGGCTGACCTTGTCGGCCAGCGGCGCGCCACGGTCGTGCATGTGCCTCATGATGGCCAGCATCGGCGTGACACCAATCCCGCCCGCCACCAGCACCACCTGGCAAGCGCCCCATCATCAGCGTGTGCGTGTGCGTGTGCGTGTGCGTGCGTGTGCGTGTGCGGTGCGACTGAATGGGGCAAAGGGGGCGGGGAGCGGACCCTTCGGTAGGCGAACGGGTCGACGGAGAGTGCGCCGTAGGGGCCTTCGACTCTTCCCGAGGCGATCGTCCCTGGTCGCATCTCCACCGCACGCAGCAGCTGGTGGGTGTAGTTACCTGCATGCAACACAAACTCTGTTGGTGTGCCATTGTGTCGTGTGTGCCGTGTGTGCGGGTGCGAACCGGCTGATTTGACGTGCACGGTGAACTCGCCGTCGTGGCCACCGCCTGGAGCGGGCGGCGCCGAGGAGATGGTGAATGGGTGCGCCTGGAGCGGGGCCACAGCCGGTAACGTGAGGAACACGTACTGGCCCGCAGAATAGGCGAACCGACCGTCGACCTTGATCGTCAATCTATGTGTGCGTGTGCGGTGGTACGTGTGCGGCGGTGCGGGCGTGAGTTGTGTGATGCCCGGCTTGAGGTGGTTAGTTGGGTGAGCCCTTACTTGACGATGTCGCTGCACACTTTCTGGGCTGAGACGACGGCCGCTCGGGACTTGGGCGAAATGAGAATAGAATACAACCGGTAGAGCAGGTCCACGCCGTAGAAGAAGAGACTGACCGAGGCCTTCATCAGAAACCCTGCAATTCCAAGTATTCAGCCTGTGTGTCGTGTGTCGTGTGTCGTGTGTCGTGTGTCGTGTGTCGTGTGTCGAACGTGTGTCGTGTGCGGTGCGGTGATACATACCTCCGCCGCCGTGGTGGAGCAGAATGAAGACGATGAACGAGGGCACGAAGATGATGTGCGCCCAGCGAAACAGCTCGAAGAGTCGCCGCCGCACGAAGGGCAGGGACATGGCGATGATGACGAGGTAGCACGCCACCGCTACCTCGCCGAACAGATTGTCGGTCTTCTTCAGCGCCTCGTCGATCCACTTCTGGCGGCCCTCCTTGAGCCAGGTCACGTGGAACACGGTGCCGTGCGCAATCACCATCGCAATCGCCTAGGGCGCAAAAGAACGAAAAAAGCGAAGGGTCTTGGTGCAAGAACGAAAGAAGACGAGCCCAGAGAGAGAGAGAGAGAAAGAGAACGAGAAAGTGAGAAGCTCGAGTACAGTGTTGGATATCCAGCGGTGGTAGGCGATCGCGCGCTCGAAGCTGCACGAGAACAACACCTGCCAGATCGAGTTGCGCGTCACAAACAGCAGCGACAGCGCCAGATCCCTGACGAGGCGCAAACGCACCGCACACGCACACACGCACACGCTGCAATGAGGAAACGGGGAAGCGAAAACACGAGGTGAGATGGAAGGCCACCAGTGGACGACCTCGCCGAGACTTTTGGCGAAGTGTTCAGTGTTGGAGCGTCGGTAGGAGTAGAAGATGAAGCCGGCGTGGATGCCCAGGAAGAGGCCGATGAGCACGAGCTCGAGCAGGGTGAGCCCCACGCCTAGGCCCACCAGCGGCATGCGGCCCAGGCCGATCTTCACCCACGCGAAGGCCGATGGGGAGATGGCCGGCTTGTTGTTGGGCCACGACTCCAGCCTTCGCATCTCAGCCATCGATTCGCTCATCATCACTCTCTTCCTCTACAAAATTGGCGAGCTCAAGATTCGAATTCAATCTCCCCCCGAGAGAGATGATTAAATCCAAGTGACGTTGGGGGCGAAGACGACGAAGAAGACGTGAGAATGAGTTGTGTGGGTGAACGAAGCAAGTTTATAGTGCACCAGTAGCGAGAGAAGCAGAAGCCAACCACCGCGCCCGCAACCATATCTCTCCCCGCCGTTGCCGGCTCCTTTCTGGGGCCTCAGCACCTCTGCGGGCCGATCGACATCAATTGCCCGGCAGACGCGGGCCAAGGTCTCAGAGCGCGACAGCGGCGACGGCGGCGTCGGTGCCGGCGTCGGCGGACTCGGGGGCGATGAGGAGTCGGCCAGTGTGCGGGTCGCGTGCGAGGTCGAGTATGCGGTCGAACTCGCCCTGCACTGACGGGTCGTGGTCGATCACCAGCACCGTCTCCTTGCCCAGGCGCCGCAGCACCTCGCACACCAGCGGCTGACACACAAGACCACCAAAACCAACAGCTAATATGAATATGTGTAATAAAAAAGGAGAATGAAAAGAATATGCACAGCGCACACACGGGCCGCACACATGCAAGCGTACCTTGGTGGCCGGGTCGAGGTGGGTGGTCATCTCGTCGACGATTAGGAAGGGAATGCGTACGCCGCTGCGATTGAACACCATCTCGCTCAACGCAAACTGTGGTTCCCCAGACACACGAGAACGAGAACGAGAACGAAGAAAAACTTCGGCTTGAGGGAGTGACAGAGAGAGGGGGAGAGGGAGGAAGTGCGTACGGGGGAGAAGGCCAGCTCGGCACAGCGGCGCTGCCCGCCGGAGAGCTGGGTGAAGGAACGCGAACGCAGCTTGCCGCTCACCTGGTCGAATTCGTGGAAGTCGATCTGCAGGTCGTCGCCCTCCATCGACAGGGTGCAGTTGATCTTGCCCTGCAACAGAATGGACAGAAAACTGAATGGAACACCACCGCACACGCACACGCACACGCACCACCGCACACGCACACGCACACAGTGAGATAGGGCTTTCAAGTTGTAGGTGTGCCGAGAAAGGCGAGGAAGGGCCAACGCACTGGTTGGCATAGTCCTCGAGCTCGTGCAGTACGGCGCTGAGCGCGGTGACAGGTATGCCTTTAGGACCGAATCTGATGCAGAGGGAGTGTAAGGCCCAGATCTAAGATAGGAGCTAAAACGGCGATTACGGGAGGGTACCCCGTGTCCCAGAATTCAGCAACGCGCAGCTGCTGGTCGGTGCTGTCCATCGTTGACTGTCAACCACACCACACACCACCCAACCGACCAATCAGCAACTGATGGGTTCGTAGGGAACAAAGAAAAGAAAAGAAAAACTGCCGGCACAATAAAACCAACGAACCTTGATGTGCGCCATCGACTGCAGCAGAGTGCGGACTTTAGTGTCCTTCTCCGCCTTTTGCTCTTCAAACGGATTCCTTGCTGTGTTTCGTCCGAAACGGACGTCAATTAACAGAAGCACACCACAACAGCACGCACCACCGCACACGCACACGCACACGCACACGCACACTGTCCTGACTGGCGCCACATACAACGAACCTGTGTTAAGCTTCTTCATCTGGGCCGCGGCCTCGCTGAGCGCGCGTTCCACGTTCTTGCGGTTGTTGCGCATGTTGGCGGCGATGGTCAGCTTCTCGGCGCATTCGGTCGACTGCCTGTGCAGCTGGTCGAGGTCCTTCTCCCCGGCCTGCCGGCGCTCGGCGTAGTCCCGCTTCTCGGCCGCCATCTCGGCGTCGACGGCCTTCAGCTCCTCCGCGAGCCGCGCGACCAGCGACTCCCGCTCGGCCACCTTCTGGCGCAGGTCGGCCACCAGCCGGTCCTTTATCTCCGATGAGATGGGCTGTCCACACGTATTGCACGTGTCGACCGCCGCCGTCGTAGTTTCCTGATTCTGGCAAGCCCAGAGCAAAGTCAGCCGTGGCCGTGTCGTGTGTTGAATGTCTGTGCCGTGCGTGTCGTGCGTGTCGTGCGCTACCTGGGCAGGGGAGGAGTGTGGATGCCTTCGATGAATCTCGTCCTCCATCTTCTTCTTCTCCTTTGCGGACGCCAGCTGCTCGGCTTGGAGTTGCCCCAGTCTAGCGTGAGAACGTTCATAAGTGCGAGAAGCGGCTATGGGTGGTGAGTGGGTGGTGGGTGGTGACGTCTCTCGCTATCTACCTCTTGGACAAGAGGCTGATGGTGGTCTGATGCTTGGCGGCGACGTCGTTGATGACCTTGTTCATCTGGTTGATGGCCACTTGTACGCTCTGCTTCTTGTCCATCCACTCCTTCTCCTCCTTTCCTTCCATTCTGTAGTGTATGAATGATGATAGTCAGCACGCGTGTGTGTGTGTGTGCGTGCGTGTGTGTGTGTGTGCGTGTGTGCGTGTGTGCGTGTGTGTGTGTGTGTGTGTGTGTGTGGAAACGGAAGAAACGAAGGAGCACGTTTTGACGTTGTCCAGCTGCTGTTGGAGCTCTGTGGCCTTGGCCTCGGCTGATTCGACGGCCTTCCTGTTTTCCTCGACCCACGCCCTCGCCTGCTCGTCGTAATCGATCTGCGTGTGAAGTGCAAGGAATAATTTCAATATTATAATAACCAACAAGAAAATAAAGAAAATGAAGAAAATAGTGGAAAACCAAACCTTGGTCCAGGTTTCGTGGGCGGCCATGGCTTTGGCGAGTTCGATCTTGGTCTTTTCCATCTCCATTTCAAGTTTCTTCTTCTGGTCCTTGGCCGTCTTCTGGGCGAGCGTGCACGCACCTGATGATAGAACGGCAGCGTCGAGTGGACACTGGACACTCAGCGCGCGCACGCACGCACGCACGCACGCAGAGAGAGATCGAAATAGGATGTGGAAGAGCCTACCCAGGTTGAGCGTTCGCGAAAGGAGTTCCTTCCGGCGCTTGTCGGCGTCGGTCACAAAGTTGGACACGGCACCTGACACACCGTGAGTGTCCAGCGATCAAACTTGTACCTTGCCTCCATTTCGAACACAACAGGTACCTTGGCCCAGATACACGCACATGCGCCACATGTCAAAGTCGAGTCCCACGATGTTGTTCACCAGCATTTGCTGATCGCGCACGCCCTCCGGTTCCTGCAGAGAAACAAAATAAATAAATAAATAAATAAATATCATTTACAAAACATTTTTTAAATAATAATAATAACAATAACAATCGTGGTCGCTGTACCTCGATGCCCTCGATCTTGACCTTGGCCCCGGCTCCTTTCCTCTTCGACCTCGATACTGAGAGCGGCTTACCGTCCACCTGTAGAGAATGCCAGGAATGAACATAAAAATTAGGTACAAGCACACAAAAACAAACAAGCCACATGACGATACCTCGAGGTGAAGCGTGACGGACACTTCCTTGGCGTCGTCGTGGATGACCTCATCGCCGCGCAGCGATGCCGCAGCAGTTCCTGGCGGTGGAGGCGGCAGGTGAGAGTCGAAGTGTAGGCGGCCAAATGACAGAAAAGAAGTGGTGCGGGCACCAGGTTTGCGAGGGGTCGTGTTGCCGTAGAGACACCAGGTGAGTGCGTCGCCCAACGAGGTCTTGCCCACGCCCATAGGACCGCGCAGCAATGCCATGCCTAGTGCGATGTCGTCGTGTTACTCATCACAATCTACGATGCAACTCACACGACACACGACACACGACACACACGACACACACGACACACACGACACACGACACACGACACCGGAGAAGTTATGCACCCGTTGTCGTGAAATCCAAGTCGGCTCGACCCTTGATAGCACAGAAATCTTCAACAGAAAGACTGTGGTGGGTTTCCGTGAGTGCACAATCGATGCAGGAGGAAATGATGAGCCAGTCTGTGCACCTCTTGAAGGAGACCACCTTGCCGATTGGGCGAATGGTGTTGGGCTGATGTGCGACCTCGGAGAGCGCTGTCCGGGCAAAGTCCACCAACGCCGAACGGTCGGGGTGATCTACTGTGATGACGCACACACAACAAATAGATAAAATTGAAGATTAACAAATTATCAAAATACTGTATGCTTCGAAAATCAGCTCTACCTTCTTTCTTGGTGATGTCGATGTACTCTTGGACGAAGTGGTCGAGCATCTGCGACGAATAGCCTTCGGCCGCGACTGTCACCACAACACAACCAACAATCAGACGAGCAGTCTGCATGTAGAGATAGAAAAGAGCTGGTCGGGTTTCGCACGTACCATTGGGCGTGGTGGTGCTGTCGCTGGCGGGCACAGTGTGCGCAGCGCGGTCGACGCCGCCACCATCGGTCTTGCGTTTGACGATGCGGCGAAGGAGCACTTCCTTCTCTGTCAGCTCGGCCATCGCTCTTTCAAACGCCTCCGTACGCATCCCCTCGTGTGAGCTACTCACCTGCGGAATGTCAGCGTCCCGGAACAGCCCAGCCGTTGTAGGTCAGACACGCTCTCAAACACTGCGTGATCAAGGCGTGAACGACGAGCAGCACCTCGACAATGTCGTGTGGTCGCACAAGCTCGAAGGGTCGCATAGCCGACGTCGGTTGCTCCACCGCCCCGTTCTCAGCTCTGGACAGATCAACGCACGTAAGTGTCGCACCACACACACACACACACCACACAACACAGGCAGAAGGGGAACGTCAGGCTGGAGACGCACGCGTTGAATTGAAAGTCGGCCGGGAACGAGAACTTCCAGTGCTTGGGCATTTGTTCAAAGTTGACGAAACGTGGTACGATGCTTTCCGATGAAACCACCGCAACGCCGTGCGGCTGTGCGCGTGTGATCCAGCGGCGGCGCATTAGTTAAACATCACAGCATTTGGTGAACATCACAAACAGCAAGCGGGGTTGCCGACACGAGCCATATTCATACCTCATTCATTTCACCAAAGTTCTGCTCGAAGGGGCTGCCCACATACCAAATCCGGTCTCCTGCGACAACGCGTGGGCGAAGTCAGCGCCTGGTGGGTACAAGTTAGGGCGAAGTGAGGTCAGCGTGTGTTTGGTACCAATGAGTTGTCGCTTGTGGTAGTGGCCCACGTAGCACGCCCTCGCCACCTGCTCGATCTGCGCTCTTTAGAAAATAAGGAAATGTCAGAGTTGGCTTTGCGATTCAACCCAGCAACTTGACTGAGTAAGAAACCTGGAGATGCGCCCGGAGGCTATATGGCCGCCGTTGGCAACGGCTCCGCCGACCTCGGCATGCGCGAAAATGGTCCATCCTGGGGTGGTAAAAATGGATCAAGTCAGCCTGTGTGTGTCGTGTGTCGTTTGTGTGTGGTGTGTGTGTGTGTGTGTGTGTGTGTGTGTGTGTGTGTGGACTCGAGTCCTTGCCTGGCGTTTGTTCGCTACTGCTGGAATCGACAAGCGGCTCGAGTTCGCTAACGTGTACAAACTGGCGCTGTTGCTCCGCGGAGTCCTCGCGCCTGTGAACAACCGACGTGAGGGCACGCGAACAAAAGGGTAAGCGCTCAAAGTGATGAGTGCAAAAGCCCCTCCACATGCAGAGGTGGTGTTCTGATCACGCGTGTTACCAGGGAAGGAAGGCCAGGCGATTGGAGGCATCGTAGATGGGTCGAGTCGCGATGGAAATGTTGGGGAAGAGACCAAACATGCTGATCCCGTGCACGAGTCCGTCCACGCTCACCTGTCGTGCGGCCAGTGAGCCCAGCTGCCACCACAATACATGTGTATGGATTCAACGCGCATACCTGGTCGTGATTGCCCGGAATGAGTGTGGCCCGCACGCCCTCGTCGCTCCACTGCTGAAACTCTTGCAGCAATCTGACCCACACACACACACACACACACACAACATTGACACACGCACCGTGAACGATTTTTCCACAACGTGCATGTGCAGTGCAGAGAGGTGTACACACCTGTCGACATGGCGGACCTGGAGGGAGTGGCGGTGGTGCCAGAAGTCGCCCAGGAAGACCACCGGCGCTCTCTCCTCACGCGACAGATCGCGGATGAGGCCCAGCGTGGCGATGCACCGGTCTATGGTGGCCGCGCTCACGTGCAGGTCGCTGAAGAGCACGAACTTCCACGGTGTCCCCTTGGAGCCCGCCACCGAGCTGTGTGAAGCCGCCCTAATAAACGTACTTCGTTCAGCTGACATGATCTACAGCACAGCAACTAGCTTGGTGCGCTACCCGCTGTTGGTGGTGGTGAGGCGGCGGCTGCAGAGGCTCGGAGCTGCACGGCCCACGCGCGGCACACCCCTCCACAACGAGGGTAGTGCAGCTGATGCAAGTGAATGACAAATCGTGTAGTACAATCCACAGCAAAAAAATGGGCCGATCGATTGATGCGTTAAGAAAGAAAGTAGGGTATGTAGGTACCGGAGTAGTGCAGAGCCGGCAGGCTTGCTCCGCCCCTTGCTTTCAGCAAGCGTGACATGTTCGTCCCCTCCGGCGCGTTGTGTGTACTTTCCTTTTTTCCTATTTTTTCTTCGTTTTCTTTGCACGGTGTTTCTTTTTGAATTATTTTGTGTTTTATGGTCGTAATCGGAGCCATCTCAACAAAAAGGTCTACAAAGCGGGAGAGGGGTTATGGTGTTGTAGTTTGCTTCTTAGCACCTGGCGGTGTAGAGCATCTTGTTGGGGGTGCTCGAGCAGCCGCTCTTGGTGCAGTCGAGCTCGACCACGCCGGCAGTGGTGTCCTGGAGGATCTGCTGCTTGACCTGCTCGGCCGTGTAGGACGGGTTGGCGCCGTAGACCAGCGCGGCCACGCCGCACACGTGGGGCGAGGCCATCGAGGTGCCGGAGATGGTGTTGTAGGCGCTGTTGGAGCCGATCCAGGCCGACTTGATCGACTGGCCGGGCGCCAGGATGTCGACGCAGGTGCCCCAGTTGGAGAAGTAGGCGCGGGTGTCCTGGGTGTAGTTGCCCTTGAAGTAGGTGGCGCCCACGGTGATGGCCTTGGCCTCCGAGGCCGGGCTGGTGTTGCACGCGTTCTGGTCCTCGTTACCGGCGGCGACGGCGAAGGGCACGCCAGCGTCGACCACGGAGGCAACGGCGCGGTTGAGGGTGGCCGAGTAGCCGCCGCCGAGGGACATGTTGGCCACCGACCTGCGGCCGCGCTTGCGGGCATTCTCACCGGCCCACTGGATGCCGGAGATGACGCCGGCCGTGGTGCCGCTACCGCCGCAGTCGAGGACCTTGACGGCGATCAGGGTGACGCCGCGGGCAATGCCCACAGTGTGGCCGCCGACGGTGCCGGCGACGTGAGTGCCGTGGCCGTTGCAGTCGGTGTCCTTGGCGTCGGCGAAGTTGGCGCCCCAGATAGCACGGCCCTGGAACTCCTGGTGGGTGGTCAAGATACCACTATGGGAAGAAAGAAAACACCACATAATCAGCGCCTGGACTTGAAGACTGCATGCTGTGGGGCCATGTCAGGTGTGTCACGTACGTGTCAATGATGTAGGCGTCGACGTCGCTGGCCTCCTGGTTGTAGGAGTAGTCGCCGTCCATGCCGGTGATGGGGTGAGTGTTGATCCTCTGCAAGTTCCAGATGGCGCTGTCCTGACGCTGGCAGTTGGCGGTCTTGTAGGCCGACGAGATGTGGAAGACCTGGTTCTCCTCGATGAGCTCCACGGCCGGGTGGGTGCGGAAGAAGTGAATGTCACTGTGCACAACAACGAAAGCTCTCGGTCAGCCCACAACACCTTGAGTGTACCATTGCAGAGTGGGGCGGGAGCGGTCGTACTCGGGGGAGGTCTTGACGTGCAGAGCACGGAAGGAGTTGCCCACGTTCCACGCGTTGATGATGTCGCCGCTGACCTGGTTGGCGAACATGGCCTTGATGTCTCCGACGTAGGCATTGACTGTTGTAATCCAAGAAAGACTATCAGTCAGGTGGTCGGTCGGCGCGCGAAAGCAAAGAAGACGTACACTGAGTGTGAAGCATGTCAGGCTTCATGACGACGATGTACTCGTTCTGGACCTTCTGGTTATCGAAGGCCATGTGCAGAGGTGCCAAGGCTGAACATGCAGGCACACGTGGAATCAGCTGATGAACAACGCACACAGAAAATAGGTCAAGTGATGAGCGGTGGGGAGCGCGTACTGGCAGAGGCGCTGGCGAGCATGACAGCGAGCAGACAAGCGCTCACAAGGTAGTAGGCGCGCATGGTTGGTGCACTACGCAGAGAGAAAGAGGAGTCGCTTGCTGAGGAGCCCCGGGTGTGGGTGTAGGGGTGGCGGGTGGTGTGAGGGAATGTCAGCTGGGGTGCTCGGGCCGCATTTTATGTGCCACCGGACCGGCCAGAGGGGAAGGGTCGGTGGAGGGTTCCCTCTTTCGTGAAACATCAGCAGCTTGTTGAAGTCCGAAATTTCGGGGCCTTATTTTTCCGGACCAGTCAAAAAAAGGCACCGAAAAAGGCTTCCGCTGTTTCTTCCGCGAGACGACTGTCTAGCAACCTCTTTGGCCAGTTCCTTCCTTTGGGCGACAAGCCAGATCTCACGTTTAGCTCCACTCCATTCTTAAATTTTCCTTGGCTGGTGGTATCCCCTCAGGGAGTGAGCCTGTCGCCCTTGCTGTTGTAGTGGGCGCCCACCTGCGTCAGACTGCCGGCGGCCGAGTTAAGCAGCGAAGGCGCAGTGCCCACGTTCGTCGCGCGCGCCGTGAACCACGCATACCTTTGGTAGGGGGTCAGTGGAAGAATGTATGTGGAATGTGGGCGAGCTGCAACGCGTACCTCTCAACGTGGGGGTCGCTGTCGAGCGAGCCCAGGACGCGCTCCATCCAGGTGAGCTCGTTGGCGACGGAGTTGGACGGGCAGTCAAACTCGGTGAGCCAGATGGGCAGACCGAAGCCCTTGACCTGGCCCAGCCAGTAGTTGACGGCTCCCGCGTCGAACCACGGCGCGTTGCAGTCGTAGATGTGGAAGCACAGGAAGTCAAAGTGGCAGCCCGTGCAGTTGCCAAAGAACTGGGCGAACCTGCCGTTGGACCGCACAGCATCAGGCGTGTGTTGCGTCGTGTGCGGTGGTGCGTGGTGCGGTTGTGTGCGGTGGTGTGTGTGCGGTGGGACGGACCATTCCTTAGGGCCGATGTTGCCGCCTGGCGCAGCCGAAGGGGTGCCGAGCTTGATCTTGCCAGTGAGGCCAGCAGCGTCCAGCTGGGCGATCACCTTCTTCCACTCCGTTGCCGCGGCCTGATGGTGTCATCCGGTCAGCTCGCGTTTCAGCAACACCCACAGCGCGTCAACCACCAAACGTACCCGCGGCGACAGGTTGGCTTGGCTGGCGAAGTTGGGCTCGTTGAAGCCCAGCAGGTGCTTGGTGTTGGCCGGCAGCTGCAGAAAGGAGTCAAAAAAAAGATAAGATATATCTTAATCATTAAATATTTGATTTTATTTGTAACTCACAAAAATAACGAAAAAATTGAATCAAAAAAAGCGAAAGCGACGGGGGGGAGGGCACCTTGGAGACGAGGTTGGGCACAGAACCAGCGCCCCACACCATGGGCACGAACTCGACGTATCGAGAGCCCAGGTGGCACGAGGCGACGTTGGCGGTGGGCTGCAGTCCCCAGTTGTAGTACCACGACATGCGTGAGAGGGCGTTGATGTCGGCGCAGCCGCCGCTCCACGCGTTGGTCGCCACACCGCGGTAGATGGGCTTGGCGGCCCCGTGTGGCAGGCAAGCAGCGCTTATGGCCAAGGCCATCGCGACGAACACGAAGAGGCGAGGAAGCGTCATCGGTTATGTCTTCTTGTTGTTAACTCGAATGGTGGCAGCTTGGTGCAGGAAGTGGCAAGAAGCTTGGTTGGGCCGGAGTCAGGCCTATCAAGGACGCGTAAAGGCGCCTGGTTGGTCGGCACCCTTTGCGTCATCAGCGTCGGCAGAAGGAGAATCTTTGGGACGAAAGTGCGCAGGTACGGTCAATTTTGGCTGTGTGTAGACACCTTGCGTCGACAGTTGAAAAAGGGCTTGGGAGCAGCGGCCTCGGCTGTGCCGGTGAAGCTCATCATCATTGCGCAGTACCGGGCACGCCAGGTGGGCCACGCCCAACCGCGCCGCGGGCAGTGCGGCCGTCCAGCCGCGGCAGCCTTCGGGCGTTGCCGCCGTGTCGGCCTGAGAAGAGAAAGGTGCCGACGGTTGACCCCAAGGTGTATATGTCGTTAATCGAAGGAAGCAACACCAATCAGATGCCGGCGCCGCCGGTGACCTCGAGGCAGTGGCCGGTGATGTAGGACGCGTGGGGAGAGGCCAGGAGGAGCACGCTGCCCGCCGCGTCGTCCACGTTGCCGGGACGAGCCAGAGGCACAGTCTTCGCCACAGCCTCGGCCGAGTTGGTCGCACCTTTTGTGCGAACAAGCCATCAGTAAGAAAACAGTGTTATTATTAATGTTGTTATGTAACTTATATTTCTATGAAGCGTACCGGGAATGCCGAGGGCGACCTTCTTGCCCTCGACCTCGATGAAGTTCTCCTGTCCCTTGGCGGCCGTGAGGCGCGTGTTGATCCAACCGAAGGCTTTTAGACGACACCCACAAACGAACGTCAACCACAACATCTTGGCCACTGTGTGTGTGTGTGTGGTGTTCATGTCGTGGTGTGTCGTGGCGCGTTGTATCGTGTTGTGGTGTGTGAGTAGCGTACCGACAGCGTTGCAGCGAATGTTGAAGGCGCCCCACTCCTTGGCGATGGTCTTGGTCAAGCCCAGGATGCCCGCTTTCTGATGGGTGGACAATTAGAGATGAGTGGTCTGCCGCTCACAGACCAACACGAGAGCCCCAGGTCAGTGGCTAGGTGGGCTGAACGTACGGCAGTGGCGTAGTTGGCCTGCCCAGTGTTTCCATGGAGTCCCGACGTGGACGATACCTTGAGACGACAAAACACGCATACGACACACACACGACACACATGACAACAGTTGGCTGTTAAAAACGCAGAGAAGCGACCGCTTCTTCTGGCGAGACGCTGCGGCGGGGCGGGGCGGAACGCACGTTGATGATGCTGCGCGGGGCAGCCTTGCCCGAGGTCTCGATCTCCTGCTTGGCGGCGTCACGCATGTAGGGCGCGGCGGCGCGGATGAGGCGGAACGGCGCCGTGTTGTGCACCAACAGCATGGCCTGGCTCGCACACACACAAACAATACGGCCGCGCGGCAGTTAGTCCCACCTCTCTCTCTCTCTCTCGCCAGGCCGGCCCGGCCCCAACCCTCCGTCAGTCACGCACCTCCCACTGCTTGTCGGTCATCCTGTGGGCGATGCCGTCCCACGTGTAGCCGGCGTTGTTGACCAGAATGTCGAGCCTGCGGACGCAACCGAGCGTGAGTGTCGTGTGTGTCGTGTCGTGTCGTGGACGGACCGGCCAAAGGCGTCGATGGTGGCCTTGATGATGTGTTCGGGGAACTTGGGGTCGGTAACGTCGCCCGCCACCGAGATGGCCTCGCCGCCCTTGGCCTTGATGTCTGCCGCCACCTTGTCCGACTTGGCTGCAAAGGGGGCGGTCCAGTAGAAAAATATGAATATATAATAAATAATAAATAATCTGATTAATAATTTAAATGGGGCGTTACCCTTGTCGAGATCGGTGACCACGACCTTGGCGCCCTCGGCAGCGAACAGGTGCGCGGTGGCCTCGCCGATGCCCTGGCCCGAACCCGTCACAATCGCGACCTGAAGAAATCAAAAAAAATTGTAAAATCGTCATAAATAAATTGAGTTCAACTCATAAATGTGGCTTTGCAAGAGCGTGGGCGAGTACCTGGCCCTTGAGGAGACCGCCCTGGTTGGTGGCAGCGGTGCGATGGAGATCCAGAAGCTCGGCAGCAGACGGCGCGCTGGCCTCGACATGGCGGGCGATGGCCGTAACCCTTCGGCTTGCCGCAAGCGCGTTGGTGTTGTGTTCCATCTTTTAGTTCTTTCTTGTGTGCGTTTTTGGGTTTGGTGTCTCTGTCGTTCCCTGCTCGTCTTTGTTTTCCTTTTTCTCGTCACATTTCACAGTTACTGGGGAAACTTTCCTACTGGACCAGCTTTTTCAGTCAATTTCACAGTTGTGGCCACATGCAATGTGGGGCTGCAGTCACCTCTACAAGAAGTACTCTGATGACATCTTTCCTCTTCGTGGGCCTCAGTGGCGCCGCCCTGGCATACGTCGAGAGCCTGAGCCAGCCGGACAGGTTGGCCACGTGCCGATTCGAGGCTGAGGGCGTACCGCTCACGACGGGCTTCGACGCGTGCAAGGTCACCCGGTCGGCGGCCGATGCAGTGCTCCATTGGCGCGCGGAGTGGTGGATGAAGACACACACTTTGGTGGGTGTGTGGGTGGCCAACAACTCGGGCGTCCACCCAACGACCTGCCCTCCTTCTACTCCTAACAAAAAAGAGGTGCTTGTTTCAAAGAGGTGGTGTGGCTTTGTATTTCACATGTTGTGGAGGAATGGCAGGGAGATTACAGGCAAAGAGAGAAAGAAGAGCCAGAGAGAGAAGTGAGAAGAGGAGGAGCCATCCGCTCCCTCTCCCAAGTCGCGGTCGTGGCGGGCGAGATGATGATGATGATGGTTGCAGTGACGCTGATCGGCGTCTCTAGTGGTCGAGGATGCGCAGGTTGCCAGAGACGACCTTGTTCTCGAGCACGGTGCCGTCGGGGATGTCAATGCGGTCGCCATGGTTGGCCACGATGATGACCGTGCCGGCCAGCTTGACGCCGGCGCCGAAAGTGACGTCGCCGCACACGGTCAGGTGGTCGAGCTCGATCATGTCGGGGATGGTCTTGAACCGGCGCTTGTACTCGGCCACCTTGGCGAACTGCTCGCCCAGCTTGACCACGGGCGTGGCGGCGAACTCGCGCTTGGGGTTCATCACGAGGGCGCCGTCGGCGAGCGCGTAGATGTTGGACTGCACGAGGAAGAGGTCGGAGCAGCTCTTGACCGGCAGGAAGCGCGAGCGCGGCACGTTGACGCCCTGCGCGCGGCCAAAGTACTCCATGGCGGCGCCGGCGGCGCGCTCGAGCTGGAGCACGGCGAGGCCGTTGACGGCCTTCTGGTTGGGGATGACGTCCATGGCGTCGAGCGCGCGGCTCTCGATGAGGCGCTTGATGGCGTCGAGGCGCACCCACAGGTTGTTGGTGTTGAAGATCTTGAACTTCTTGATGGACTTGAACTCGTCCACCTTGTCGGCGGGCACCTGCGCGATCTCGAGCAGCTTGGGCCGGCCCTCGTAGTCGATGAGCGTGCCGCCCTTGACGTCGGCGCGCGTCTTGTCCGTCAGCTCCATCACGTACTCGCTCTCCGTGTCCGCCATGTGCTTCAGAATGTCTGTTGGTTGTTGTGACAATGATGATGGATGGATTGTGAGCCGCTTGGGTTTAGAAAAGGAAAGGAAAGAAAAGAAAAGAGAGAAGAACGGTGGCCACGAAAGAAGAACAAAACGGCGCAGATGACGTACTGAGGTCGACGGTGGCGCCGAGGTTGTCGGCGTTGGAGATGAAGATGTACTCCTTGCCCTCGGCGAGGAACTTGTCGACGAGGCCCGAGTTGACGAGAGCGGGGAAGACGTCGCCGTGGCCGGGCGGGTACCACTCGTCGGCCTTGCCGTTGATGTCCTCGGGCAGCGGGAGGAGGGAGTCCTTGAGGACGCGCGGGTAGCGGCTCTGGTTGAAGGTCTCGATGGTGACGTGCTCGTTGGCGTCGTACTTGCGCAGGATGGCCTGGGTCATGGCGTGCGTGTTGAACGAGTTCATGAGCACCAGCGGCACCTTGGCCTTGTACTCCTTGTTCAAGTGCTGCACGTGCGCCAATTCATCGGGTCAGACAGACAAAATCGGAGTTAAAAATGATGGAATATCGGAGCTAAAACCAAGAACGAAGTGTGCGGGAGAGGTGCGTACAGTGATCTGCTGGACGATGAGGTCGAGGAAGGTGTGCTTGGAGTGGACCTCGATGGCTGACTTGGGACCCACGCAGCCCATGGTGGTGCCCAGGCCGCCGTTGAGCTTGAGCACGACGAGCTTGTCCAGGTAGGCGCCCTTGGCGGCCTCGGCCACGGGGGCCAGCTCGGCGTAGGGCACGATCATGTCCTTGGGCGGCGGGTTGATGCGCTGCCAGTCGATGACCTTGCCGCGCTGGTTGACGAAGGCCTCCACGACGCCCGTGAAGTCGGTCAGGTCCTTGGTCAGGTTGAGCTTCTCGGCGGGCGTGTAGGCCTTGCCCGTCTCGGGGTTGACGCTGGCGTCGATCGAGGCCACGATCTTCTGCACGGCCTGCTCGACGGCCGCCACGGCCGGGTCACGCTCCTTCTTCGGTACCTGCTGCTGCTGGGACTGCTTGGGGGAGGCGGCGCCCGTGGCCTTGTCAAAGTCCTGCTGGTCCTGCTGGAGGTCCTGCTGCTGGGCGGCGGCTCGGGCCAGGTCCTTCTGGGCCTGCTGGAGCATGCCGTCGACGGCGAACGAGGCGGGAGGCATAGAGGCGACGAGAGTAGAGGCCATGGCTGTGTGTGTGTAGAACGAATGAAAAAGTTGAAGATGAAAGATGAAAGATGTGTGTAGAGAAAGTAGAGAAGCGAGTAGAGCGCGAGTAGAAGCCTGTTTGTTGTTGTGCAGTCTGGTGCTGGCTGTGCTGGAAGGAGTTTTGATGAATTCGAAGAGGGCAAGGAGTATCAAGACTCTCTTCTTCTGTACTGTGCTTGTGTGCTGCTGTCTGTGTTCTCTGTGTGCGTGCTGTGCGAGCTTTGACGGGGCTGAGGTGGTCGTCTTTATGTAGCCGCACCATGCGGCGCTCACGCGTGCACTATTAACTCGAAATTTCGCTGCTTTTAAATCCGAAACGGTGGCGGTGGGCCTTCGCTGGGCCGACGAGGTCGAAGTGCGGGTGAGGGCAACGAACCTCGCTCCTGGCTCTCCCTTGACACGGGCGACACAACGTGCTGTGCGTGTCTGACTTCATCTTCTGATCAAATAAATTCCAAGAGTTTAAATCTTTTCCCCTTTTTCCTACGATCGATCCAAGAGCGAAGATGGAGGGAGGGGGCGAAGGAAAGATGGAGGTAGTTGCAACTACGCACTCGAGGGAGGAGGCCTCGCTGACGCACGAATTCATGATGGGCCTGTTGCGACAGATGGCCACGCCCGAGGGCAGAAGGGCAACTGACGCATTAAACGAAATCACAAAATCGGTCATCAGGACGCATCAGCTTCTGCGCTTCCTTCATGGCCTCCTTGATCAATCTGCTTCATCTTCTGCCCCAATCGCTACGTCGTCAAAGAAAAATCCGATGTCTGCTGCTGTCGATCTGCGCTCCGTCATCGCGCTGTGCTGGCAAGTAGTGGCAAAGAACTCCCACACCCATGACACTGTGCCGCTGGGCGTTCTGGGCGACTCCGCCCTGCGCCTGGCCTACACCGAGCCGCGCCTGGACAGCGACGTGCGGCGCAAGCTGGGCGACCTCGTCCCCCACATCTTCAAGCGAGACTACTCCTTTGGCAGAAGATGGTGGCCCAAGGTGGTCGAGACGGCGCTCCAGCAGGACAAGTGGTATACCACGACCACCAGCTCCACCACCACCACCTTCGACGACGGCGCGACCCGCCAGCAGCGCCACGCCGAGCTCGAGGAGATCACGATCGGCTTACTCGCGCAGCTGCTACCGATCGCCTTCTTCGAGGTTGGCAGCGCCATGCTCGATACGCAGATCGCGCCAACCCTCATCTCTGCCTTGGCCGCCGACAAGCCACCCAAGGTCAGTTGCTGTCGGTCTACTCATCTGCTTGTTGTCGTCGCTGTCGTCGTCGTCGTCGTCGTCGTCGTTTGTTGTTGACTCACCTCAGCTTGCTTGCTCTTGTTTCATTCATCACAAATCTCACAGATGCGGTACAACGCCTTGGTTGCGACATGCGGGGTGCTGCAGCAGCAGCCGGGCTCGGATCGACTTTTTCCTCTTGACGACTTTGCGCCGAGCCTGCTCGAGGTGCGGGACACACGCCTCCGGCGCAAGCTGGCTGCTGATTATTGGTGTGGTTGTAACTGTGATGACCGCGCTCCAGGTCTTGATGGGGCTCAGTGAAGCAGCCGAGTACTCAGTGCTCGACTCGGCCATCACGAGCGTGCGGGAGGTATGCTTGGCGACTCCTTCTACCTGCTGCGGGAGATATAGATTTACATCGTGCCGTGTGTGTCGCGTGTCGCGTGTCGCGTGTCGCGTGTTCTGGCGTGGCGTGGCATGTCTAGATCTCGGAACAATTCTCAACCGAAATGCTTGGCCCGTACCTCGATTTGATGCTGCAATTCACGGCAGCCACCACGCTGCCGAACGTTGTGCGCAGCACGGCCTTTGATGCAATCGTAGCCGTGGTACCTCTTCTCGTTTTCGTTTTCTTCGTTTTCTTCGTTTTCGTTTTTGCTTGCTGCTGACGCCTGGCAATGCAGTCTTCACCCACGCTGCGGGAGATGACTGATTTCGTTCGAAAGACGTTCAGCGTAGCTTTCCAGATCTACCTTGAGGTAATTCTCAGTGTTTTCCCAGGTTTCACACAGTTAACTCATCATTGCGTGCTCGCACTTGTGTGTCTATTCGAAAGGTGGATGAAGAGAGCAAGGTCTGGTCTCTCGACGAATTGGAGGAAGAAGAAGCAGAAGAGGAGGAGAAGGAAGAGGAAGAGGAAGAAGAGGAGGTAGTGGAAGCCATGGCTGAGAGGGAAGAGGAGGAGGAAGAGGAGGAGGAGGAAGAGAAAGAGGAGGAGGAGGAGGAGGAGGGCGAAGGCGGCGACCGGGGCTCCCGAGTGTCGCCCACCAAAGCGAAGACGTGTGAAGAAGCAGCAAGAGGAGCAGCTGCTTGAGGCAGGCGATGATCAACCCAATGGCAATGGGGTGAAGTCGCGGGATCAGGTGACGGAACTAAATTGGGACGACGGACCTGAGCGCGTGGTTGAGCGCGCGTCCACCTTCGCACGAATCGTGGGTATGTCACGCTCTGGTCCATTCAATGCCTCAGCTGATACTAAGCATGGGTGTGTGTGTGGTGTGTGTGGTGTGTGTTGTGTGTTCATCGTACAGGGAGCAAGATCTCTGTGCCAATCTGCATGAAGTGGGTGGATCTGTTCATCCGCAGCGAGGACTGGAAGTACCGCTACGCGGCGCTCATGAGCTTGACCACCATCCTCGAGACCTGCGCGCCACTCCCCTGCCACTCGACCAAGTCCGCCACACCAACGGATGACTCGGCCGACAACCGCGAAGCCTCCACAACCTGGGGCCGCACCTCGGGCTACATCACGCATTTGATCATGAGTCGAATGCAGGACCCGCATCCCCGCGTACGCCACGCTGCCTTCACGTGCCTCTTTTACCTCCCATCATTCCTGAAGCGGGTATGTCGCTTTCGCTTTCGCTTTCGCTTTCGCTTTCGCTTTTTACGTATCAGGACCCTTGCTGGCACAGGATTCGGACCTTGCAGCGCCGTACCATGGCCTCATCGTCCCGGCTCTGAACGCCGGCATACTCGACGTCAACTCCCACGTGCAGGAACGAGCCTGCTCTGCACTGGTACGCTTTCTCTTTCTTTTCTCCTTCTTTTCCTCTTTTTCCTCTTTCTCTCGTTATGGCCCGCAACTGTGTGTTCGCGCAGGGGAGTGTATTCGAGGATGAGCTGTCGGACATGCTGGACCTCTACGATGAGCCCGAGCGCGAACGCATCACTAGGCTGTGTTACGAGCTACTGGACAACCTGTTGGACCTGACGCAGAGCGAGAGCAAGGAAATCAAACAGGCGGCCTTCATGGCCGTCGCTCTCATGTCTGATTCGCTCAAGGAGAAGTTCGCCAAGGTATCACCCCCATTATTTTCATATGAAAGGAGTCCGTCACTAGTTTTATAACTTCCACTCGCGTGTCGTGTGTGTCGTGTGTGGTCGTGTGTGTCGTATGTGGTGCGGTTGTGTCGAACGTGAACAGTATTATGAGCGCTTTGCGCCGGCGTGCCTGGAAATCCTGCGACGAAAACAGCCAGTGGCTGGGCGAAACAGAGAGCTTGCCGGCCGCGCCCTGGAATGCCTCACGCAGATGGCCGTATCAGGTATGCTGCCCGTGTGCGGTGGTGCGTGCGTGTGCGCGTGTGGTGTGTTTGCGGCACACACGCAGCTGACATACAGCGCAGTGGGTTTGGAGACGAGCAGATCATACACCGAGGAGGTGCTCGAGATCCTACGCTCCTGGACGCCCTTTGCCCAGCAGCTGCGCACCCAGTCGTCAACGTATGTGATGGCCGCAATCGGCCGCATGGTCGAGTCCCTGAAGCTCGGCTTCCTCCCCCACTTGGACTTCTTCTTCGGTCACCTCGAGCAAGCCGTGCGCAACCACCTCGTTTTTCTTATCGTCGTCATCCTTCTCCAATCTTCTTATTTACTCATCGTCATCATCGTCAAGTCTTCTTGTTTACTGACATCGCGTGTGCAGATTTTGACTGGTCCCACCCTGGTGGAGGATGACGTGGCCGTTTGGCAAAGGCAGTTCAGCATCAACGTGGACGAGATTGAAGCCAAACGCGGCGCCATCAACGCGCTCCACTCTATCCTGCGCGAATTGTCCCATACCGAAGAGGGTACGCACCTTCTACTGCCACCTTAACTGAACTGTCTTTGGCGCCAATTTGGCGTTTGGCCTCGGCCCACACACGCAACAGTTTAACTGCAACCCGACCGACACCTTAACTAATCCATGGACCCGGGCTTCGCAGGCGCGCTTGGCTTATTCCCCTATGCCGAGCGCACGGCAAAGGCGCTGGCGGAGGTGTTCCTACATTCTCTCGATGACCAGGCTTGCATTAATGCAGCCCCCTGTTTCCCACTGCTCGTCACCATCAACCAACAGGTCCTCAAATGGCAAAAGAATAATAGTATGTATGCCGCGCGTGTGTGCGGTGTGCGGTGTGTGCGGTGTGTGCGGTGTGTGCGGTGTGTGCGGTGTGCGGTGTTGCAGGCTCGTTACTATTTAGCTGACCACCTCTAGGTGAAGGCGGTGACGATGACCAAACGGAAGCGAAGAAGCGAAAGAGAATGGCAGACTCGCCGTTCAACACTGAAGACCAGGCAGGCGAACATCACGTCAAAGACGCCGACCTGTTTAGGGCGAGGTATTACTACCTACCGGTCGGTTGGTTGTTGCGCGTGCTAACCCCGTTGTGGTATTATTTGGTAGGACCCTTCGCGAGCAGGACTTGGCGTACCTGATCGGCCACATCTGGAGCTGGTTCCTCAGGGCGATCGAGGCGGCGGCCGAAGGCGAAGTGATCAGTGCGTTCCTGAACAGCATGGCTTCGGTACAGGCCTCACCACCCACCACCCACCCACAACCACGGTGCAGTGTCGACGTCGTAGCAATGTCACTAACGCCAGGCGCGTGGCGCGTGGCAGTGTTTGGACCGCGTGGGTGGCGAGTGCCTGCAGGCGAACAACATCCGTAGCACGTTCGAGACCGTTTTCGAGTGCGTGCGCTCGTCGGAGACCCAGCTGCGACTATTGCAGGAAGAAGCGGGAGACGAAGAGGAATACATCGCCACCGAGGAAAAGTACGACGCTGCAGTCCTTGTCATGTTTTTTGTCTGCTCATCACTCACACGGCCTGGTGACACACGACCAACGACACGACCAACGACACGACACGCACGGCGCACGTTCTCAGAGAAAATCAGATCAACGTCGCGGCGGAGTTGTTATTTTCTGCTGTGATCAAGCACCATTGGCCACTGTTTGCTGCGCCATGCTCTGTTTTTATTGGGCCGCCCCTGACTCAGCAAGCCGTCCAGGCCAGTATTGATCTCGCCAACGTACGTTTCAATGTAATTGTTTCCTGCGCGCGTGTGTGGTGTATGGCGTGGCGTGTCGTCTATGTGTGTGGGTGTGGCTGTGGATTCTTATATTTTTTATTTTTGTTTTTTGTTTCGATCGCCCTTGCCCAGCGTGCTCAGAGCAAGGCAGCGCGCACCACGGCTCTGTATGTGCTGGCTGACTGCATCGAATACCTCCCGGGCGTAAAGGAGGTATGAGCCGATCAACCACCACAGCCCAACGCTTGTAGACACTTACATTTACGTATTTTAACGCCACATGTGCGATGTATTGTGCTGCCATTTGCCACGCGGCTAAGTTGTTGCCGATTTGTCTGCGCACGTTGATGTCCTTCATCGGCGAGCCTGGCTCGCGGCTCCTACGCACCGCGGTCTTCGGTACGCTGCGCCTGCTCTCACCATTCCACACGCCCACGCACGCACAATTCTGATGGTGTGCTTCATGGTCAGCAATTGGCGTCTGCGCTGCGAAGCACGGCGAAACCGAGGCGGACACTTTGGTTAAAGAGGCCTTGCCCAGCCTCGTGAAGCGAGTTGGTACGATTCACACGACACACACGCGACACAAACGACACACACGACACACACACGACACACACACAACACGCACGACGCGCACGCCACGATCTCAGCTCTGACATGAGATGAAAATCCCCTGCCCACAGAAGAACACACTGCCTCGGGGCGTGGCCAGGACGCAGAAGAGGAGGCAGCGATCGACAACGCCGTAGCTGCAGCCCTCAAAATATGCTGTCACTGCCACAAGAGCCTCAGCGACACGGAACTCTTCCACGCGGTGCGCACCTGTCCACCGCACACCTGCGTGTCTTTTGAGTTAGTTCGTTTCACGTGTGTGCGTATGGAGTGTCAACTACCTTTTTTTGTCTTTGTGGCTGTGCGGCCGCGCTTGCAGGTTGAAAAGGTCATGAACCGGCTTCCGCTTGAGCATGATGAGGAAGAAATGAAGACTGTCGGTGACTTGCTCTTCCATTTTCTTCTGTTAAGGTGCGTGTGCGTGTGCGTGTGCGTGTGCGTGTGCGTGCGCGTGTGCGAGTGCGAGTGCGTTTCTGGACCCTTGACCAACGCAAATAATGCTTGATTTTAGACCGGAGGAGCGCGTGCAAGCAGCCGTGCTGGGACCAAACGGCGAGAACCGGGCGAAGATTTTCGACATGCTGAAGGCCCAGTGGGAGGGAGACCCAGAACGCGCCCACATGCTGGCTCAGCTCAACTCCTCTACCTGGCACTGAGGGGCATGTCTCTCTTGTTCCCTTCCACGCGAGCACTCGACGCAGAACAAAACACTTCGCTGCGTCTGGTGTTCTGGTGGTTCAACGGTCAGTTCGGTTTCGCGCCAAAATAGAAAGCTCAAATCGCAAAGCCAACAGTTTCAATTGATCAGAAGGTGGTAGGTTCTAGCACCATGGTGAAGATCAAGGTGGCGGATGCAAGGGCAGGAAAGGAATATGAATTCGAAGTCAGGAAATCAGGTGTGCGCCCAAGCCCCCAAGAATTTGATTGCCTTCTCCTGCAAAGATTAATTTGCCAAATTGCCTTGATCCTGCACAGACACGGTAAAGGATTTGAGGGCAAGGATCCTTGAAGAGGTGAAGAAGGTGCCCGGTCGAGACTATGTCGAGGGCAGACACCTCAGGTGCCCCCTCCTTCGAAAACTCCTCTCCTTCTTGTGATTACTTCCGCCCATTCGGTCAAGTAGCGCGATCGCGCGTGTTTTTTGGGCTGACGTCAAGCATCACCTGCAGACTGCTGCACATGGGCAGGGAGATGGAGGACGGTCCCGAAGAGCCCGGCAAGGAGCATCTGGTCTTTTTGTACCGCATCTGCGATGTACGATCCTTGCTCCCATGCCCGACGCTGCTGCGCTGCGCTGTGCTCTTGTCATCACCAACAGCTCGAGCTGGTGTTACTACGCTTAACCTCGTTTGATGTATCGATCGTGTGGCCAATGTTGCAGGGGTCGCTGGTGATACTCCACGTGCGGCCCAAGGAGGTGGATGAACCCGTGGCGCAGGAGGACTCGCAACAACCCACAACCGAGACGTCGTCGTCGGCTTCGGCTTCATCGTCGCCGGCGCCGGTGCCGTTCGTGGTGCCACCGATCGAGCAGGAGCACCTCGACAAAGCCCTCCCCGTCTCGTTGGTGACCGAGAGAACCAAAGTCAAGCTCCTATGCACCCCTGAGACGTACATATGCCTTCGCTTGTGCGCGTGCGTGCGTGTGCGCGTGCGTGTGTGGCGTGCGTGCGTGCGTGCGTGTGTGTGCGTGCGTCCAGCTCGAGCGCTGATTCAACTCGTTTCACACTTCAAAAGTGGTGACGACCTATTGCCACACGAGGAGGGAATCCCGCTCGGCGTCGTCTCGCGAACTCGCCGTGTGTTCCATTTGGACGCCGACACCGTCGCCAAGTTCCAAGACACAAACGTAACGTCAACCAACCAACCAACCAACCAACCAACCAACCAACCAACCAACCAACCAACCAACCATGCAGGGCAAGTTTGCGTACATCTGCTTTGACTTGAAAGGTGCCGACCTGCCCAACCCGGACGGCGTCGACACCCACTGCGTCATGCGGAGGAGGAAGGAGCTCCCCACGACGGGCAACCACCTGGCCCTGTGGCTCATCTACCAGAACGTGGAGCTCGACAAGAAGACCTCGGTTGGCCTGCCCGTCGGTCGCGCCGGTGGCAAGAAGGCGGCTGTTGCTGCCAAGGCCTCGGCCTCGGCGGGGAAGGAGAATGGGACCGCTGCCGCCGGATCGGCTGCCGCGGAGAAGGCAGAAGGCAGTACTGTGCTGGCCTTCCGGCTGAAGCGGCCTGAGGACCTTGAAGAGGGGTACTACACGCTGGGCGTCGTTGATCCCAGCGCACCTGATGAACGTACGCTCCCCCCCTCTTCGTTGTACTTCACTCAATCGTGTGTGTGTGTGTGTGCGTGCGTGTGTGTACTGATATGTCTGGCCTCCCCGCATGTTGGATGTTGACAGCTTGTGAAGTGTGTCGGTCGCACGATGACCCTGAGAAAACGCTCATTTGCGATCAGTACGCACTCCTCACCAGTTCAGATGTATGCGCTTGGGTCTCGCTTCTTAGCTGACCAACCCATCAGGTGCGGCGAGGGCTACCACATCTACTGCCTGACGCCTCCTCTCGCCCAAGTGCCGCCGGATGACGTACTGCATCGCCTCCCACCACTCGTCGTTCCCTTGACCAACTCACCTCCGCTTCTTTCCCCGCACACAGGTCGATTGGTACTGTCCTAACTGCTTCAACGGTACGCACACCGCACACGCACACGCGCACACACGCACACGCACGGTTGTCTTACCGGCGGTGGCGTACACAGACCCCGAAGCTGTGAAGGCGAAGATGTCGGACACCAAGCGCGGCCAGGCGCTGGGTGCCAAGAAGAAGGGCTGGGGAGGCGGCATGGCCAACGCCGGTACGTAGCGGCAGACTACGATTCGTGGTGGTACATGTATGGTGGTGGTGCTGACGTCAGCACGGCACACCCTGGGCATATGCGACAGGCCTCAAGGCCAAGTGCACGATCGTGGAGAAGGACTTCTCCGGCCAAGTGCCCGGCACCTGGGTTGGCCAAACGTGGCCGGTACCCGACCTTTCACTCTCTTTTTCTTGTTTTTATTCTGCTGAACGGCTCAGTGTCGGCCTGCCGGCTCTCGCCACTGGTGCTGACATATGGGTGGGTCGTGCGTGGGGTGAACGTTGTGCTGGTGTAGATGCGCATCGACTGCAACAGCGCCGGTGTGCATCGTGAGATGATCGCCGGTATCGCCGGCAACGTCAATCTGGGTACGTGCAACGCAAGTGAACTGCTTTGCAGAAGAGGAAAAACAACGACAACAGCAACGAAGAGGAGTGTGACCAACAATAAGTTGTGCGTGGCGTTGTGGTGGGTGCGTTTTTATAGGGAAGGCGGTGAGTCTTGTGGTCTCCGGTGGCTACGAGGACGACGATGATATGGGAGAGCAATTCAAGTACTCGGGCAGCGGGGGTACACCATTCCTCCTCCTCCTTCGGGAGCTAACTATATAAACAAATAAACATTCACCAATAATATTAAAATAATTGAGAGATGAATGAAAACATTGATCAGTGATTCAATCCTTTCCTTTTTGCCCAGGGCGCAACTTGAAGGACGGCAACAAAAGAGTGGCCGGCCAGTCGTCGGACCAGATCTGGTCGTCGCGAAACCTGGTACGCGTGCACATCTCACCATAAAGGAGCTGATGGTCACTATGGTGTGGACGATGTTCGAACTAAACCCAACAATGTTGGGTTCAAGGCGCTGGCGATGTCGTGCGTGGGCTTCAAGCACAAGTGCAACAAGGACTTCAAGGGCCACGTCTGCAAAGAATGTCAGGAGCGGTGGCGCGACGGCAAGCCGGTAACCCCCGAAACCCTGCTTGCTACACTACACTGCAACATTGCAGACCAATCCAAAAATACGCCCGTTCATGTTTTTATTGTATTTATTTTGTTTTTAACCGACGGCCAGATCCGAGTGGTGCGGAGCAACAAGGCCAAGGAGTACGGACCGCAGAGCAAGACCAAGCTGTACCGCTACGACGGCCTCTACAAGGTGGCCGACTACTGGACCGAGAAGGGCAAGTCTGGTAAGGACCCTCCTCCGCACCAATGGGATCACCACTTAATGGCTGCACTCACCACACACACACACACACACACACACACACACACACACACACACACGACGCACCACCGCACACATGACACAATAGGTTTCAATGTGTGCCGGTATCTCCTGCGCCGAGACGACCCCGCCCCAGCCCCCTGGACGGCAGCCGGCAAGGCGTACATCAAGTACTACTCTCCTTCCCTACAATCATGTGTTGCGTTGCGTTGTGTTCGGCCGCTTGTGTGTGCGTGTGCGTGTGCGTGCGTGTGCGTGCGTGCGGTGACTGTTGGTTGAGTGTATTGGTTGACCGTCACAGGAAAATGCTGTCGGGCGCTAACCAGGCCAAGGAGGAGAAGCTGAAGATGCGCAAGATCCGCGTGCTGATCGAGCGTGATACGCTCAACAAGCGGACGTGGGACAACCTCGTGCCCCAGATCGACACCACCACCCTGGGCAAGTTCCTCGAGGAGGTGGACCGCGAGTTCCCCTGCATGATCTGCCAGACGCGAGTCGACATCCCCTTCACCTTCCCGTGCGGCCACAACATCTGCCAGGTGCACCACACGACACACACGACACACACGACACACAACCATGATATTTATTCTACTCTACTCACATGGGCGACTTTGCGTTGGTGTTGTGCAGGACTGCTTCAAGCACTTCAAGACGAAGGCGGAGAAGAAAGAGTGCGGCATGTGCCGGTACGCGTCACCCCCGCGCAACGTTTGTGTGCGAACAAAAGACGTCGCCTCATCACCTCCTCCTTTACATACATTTCCCCAGAGCTGAGGTGACTGCGGACTTTATCAAGACGGCCAAGTACAACGAGTACCTGGTGGACATCCTCGCCACTCTGTTCCCCAACTTCCAGCTCCCGCCAGGCCACAAGGTAACCACACACACACACACACACACACACACACAACACACACAACACACAACGAAACTAATGATTGATGGTTGGTGCGAATCCAGGTGCACGAGGTGCACGTTGAGCCGTGTGCAGGCGAGGAGGAGCCGATGGAGGTCGAAGCCGACGAGGACGACAAGGACGAACAGGAGGTCGTGAAGGCCGCGGCCGCCAAGAAGCGGAAAGCCGCTGCCCCGGCGGCCACCAAGAAGCGCGCCGCCCCGGCCGCCAAGAAGCGCGCCGCGCCGTCCTCGAGGAAGGGCAAGGAAAAGAGGTTCGACAGTGACGACGACGGCGACGAAGAGGAGGAGATCGTCGTCGACGGCGAGAGCGGCGACGAGGCGGAAGAGGAAGACGAACGAAAGCCGGCCAAGCGGGTCACCCGAGCCAAGCAGGCGACGGCGACGACTGCGGCCAAGCGGAAGCGAGGGGACGTGGCGGCGGTGGTGGTGGGCGACGATGACGAGGATGCCGACGCCTTCCAGCCGGTCGCCAAGAAGAAGCGGACGTCAGTCGAGGGGAGCGCCAGCAGCAGGCGACAATCGGCGCCGAAGAGCGAGCCGGAGGAGATGGTGGTCGTGGACGACGGCGACGACGACGATCCGCTGTTGAACGTAGCGGTCGCGCAGACGAAGCAGACGACGAAGATGAAGAAGAAGCAAGCGGCGACGGTGGCGGTCGATGACGAAGATGACAGTGACGATTTTGTCGACACGCCGTCGAAGTCGAAGAAGGAGCAGGACATAGGCACTGATGATGATGATGGCGCGGTTGATGAAAAGGACATCGGCACGGGCTGGGACCTGTGGCTCGAAGATGGGTATGCACTACACACGCACCATCTCTCGCCTCGGCGCTAATGACACACGACACACACGACACACACGACACACACGACACACAACTAACCAACTGACACGACACGATGCTCTCTTTTCTTTGCCCGTGGCAGCCTGCCGTGTCGCGAGTTGACCAATTTTGCGCTGCTCTGGAAGACGCGCTCCTTCGTTGATATGGAGAAGATCGGCGACGGCCTCTCCGTCCGCGCCACCGGCTCCCTCGTCGCCCCTCCCGAATCGGTACCACCTCGCCGCCGCCCCTCCACACGCGCATGTGTCATTTCGCGTGCCGCGCGTGTCGTGTGTCGCGCCGCGTGTGTCGTGTGTCGTCTGTCGTGCCTCACCCTCACGCGACGCGACGCGATGCGATGTGCTCACATAGGCCAACACGGGCGCTGAGCTCAAGGTGCGCCTGCCAGGCATCATGGAGTGGACCCTCGACTACACCAACGCGTGCCTGTGGCTCCGCACCCCCTTGGCCTGGTACTTTCCTCCGTGGGCTTTGGGGGCCTGAGGGGCTCATCGATTGTATCTGATACTATCATGGTCGCGGTGGGTTCAAGGTACAAGCTGGCCAAGCCGCTGCCTGAGTATGCGCCCCATTTCGAGGAGGCCAACGCCAAGTTTGAGATCTGCAACCACCTCACCACCATTCTCGAGGACGATGACAACACCGCCATCGACTTTGACGCCACCGTGGCCAAGGTTAGTTACAGTTTTTAGTTAGTTAGTTAGTTTGTCAGTTAGTTTAGTTGTTTAGTTGTTTAGTTAGTTTAGTTAGTTTAGTTAGTTTAGTTAGTTTAGTTAGTTTAGTTAGTTTAGTTAGTGACAGTTGAGTTTGTTGGTTCATTCTAATGCGTCGTATGTAAAAATCAGATGAAGGAGGCCAGCGGGGGCAAGTACGATGAACAGCACGTGCTCAAGAGGGCGGCCTTCATCGAGGAAAAGATGCTCCAGTTCCCCGAGGCCGAAGCCACCAAGAAGAGGTTCATCAGGCAAATGAAGAGCAAAGCGGGGTCGGGTTCCTCGAGCAGCAGGCGACCAGCCGCCAACACCAAGAAGAAGGGGAGCAGCACCGCGACGGCGACCAAGAAGTCGGCCACTTCGACGAAGAAGGCCAACCAAACGCCTGAACCCACGCAGCCCAACGGTTCGCTTTTTCTCCAGTGCTGAAGTTTTTGGTTTGGTTCGTTCATCTCACCCCCCATCTCACATATTCATATTTTGTTTTGGCCCAGGAGACAAGAAGAAGACGCTGGACCACTTCTTCAAGCCCAGGGCCTGACCTTTGGTGGCCCTTCAAGTACACAACTACAGTGGGTTGAGCATGTTTACCACAACACAACCCAACAACACAAGAAAATGGTACAAAAAAATTTGTTTGGGCGCACTGCCTTGTGGTCGGTCGTCATCGCGATTGGCCTCTCTGCCTGGATTGCTCGATGTTGGTCGTGCAGCTGTGTGGCCTCTCTGGAGTCCTGGAGGAGGTGGTGACGGAGAGAGCTCACCGGCTGTGAGAGTGGTCGGCGTCCTCATCTTCGCCGCCGTGGTCGTGATCAAAGGCGAACAGAAGGCTCGCCATCGCCGCGAAGCCCACCACGGCCTGACATTGCACGCAATGCACAATCGTGTGAATCAAGGATGGTTCAGTTGATGGTTCAGTTTCTGAATTTGACGACACATAGCAAACAACACAACGGCACGCACACGCACACGCACACGCACACGCACACGCACACGCACGATCAAGGAAGCACAAATGTACACGTACCAGGAGGAACTTGATGTACTTGTCCCTGGCCGTTTGGAATTCCTCCAACAAAATGTCGACGATGGCCACGTACACAAACGTGCCTGCGTGGTAGGCACCGGTCGTGTGAGCGGTCGTGTGAGCGTGCGTGCGTGCGTGCGTGCGTGCGGTGAGGGGTTGGTTTCGTTGTGTGTGGCAAGGGAAGTACCGGAAGCGATGGCGGTCAACACGGCGGTGGTGAGCTCTCCGGCGGTGCTCCCGGCGACGGCCGTGTAGAGGCCCGAACCCAGTAGAATGCCCAAAGGGCACATGATCGCAAACAGCATCAAAAACTGTTTCGAAAATTGAAACCACAATTAACTCACGATTATTATATTCTTTATTTGTATATTTATTTATTAATTTTTATTCATTGTTAATTATTAAATAATCGTTGATTTGTCGCTGGGGTACCTTGAAGAAGGAGAGGCCCTGCTTGCCGGCCTTGAGCAAGCTCACGCCGAGCGCAAAGGCCTCGATCCACTTGTGGGAGATGAGCGCCACGAAGATGCTCAGCGCCACGTTAAAGTCCTGCTGGATGCCCAGAGCAACGCCGGCAATGACTGTGTGCGGTGGTGCGCGTGTGTGCGTGTGCGGTGAGCTCCGGCATTACGGCAACACGGTGACTGGATTGGGGGGGATGAAGTAGTACTGGAGTGGAGGGAGAGCACAGCGATCAGGATGTAGGGCAGGAGCGCCTGGCGATCGTCCAGCACCAGGTCGTGATGGTGGTGGTCCTACACACGACACGACACGCACGACACGACACGACACGACACGCGTCAGCCCCAACAAACTGGACATGGCGGCGGCGGCGGAAGAATGGCCGACGCACGTGGTGACCATGGCCGTGGTGGTGGTGATGGTGGTGCTCGTGGGCGTGGTCGTGATGCACAGGCGCGTGGTGGTGGTGGTGCCCGTGTGCGTGTCCGGGGTGGTGGTGATGATGCGGCGGCGGCGTATGCTCGTGCGCGTGGCCCGCCTCCTGGTCCTTCGGCACAACCACCGACCCGTATTGTTCGGCAGGCGTCTGCACCAACACACGACACACACAACACACACGCCACCCGCGTGAGTATTTGATCGCTTGTGTGTTGTGTGTGTTGTGTGTGTGGTGTGTGTGGTGTGTGTGTGTCGTGCGTGTGTCGTGTGTGTACTTCGTCGATGGAGAAGGGCTGCTTCTCGCTGGGCAGGCTGGCGACGGTGACGGCGACCGGGTCGCGCAGGAAGAGGACCTTCTCCACGAAGAAGGCCAGGCCGAAGCCCACCGGGCACAGGATGACCCCGAACGGGATCTCCCAGTCCGCGCCCAGCTCGTGCGCGAATGTCTCCTCCGCCTCCCGCAGCAAATGCACTGCGTAAAAAATATTAAAAATATTTTAAAAAAAGGGTGATAGTAAAGGCAATAAAATCGAGATAATTAATACATTCTTATTCATATTCATATATATTTTATTTAATTCGATTAAATAAGTTAGGTACCGAAGCCGCCGGCGAGGAAAAGGCCGCCGGCAAAGGCGTTGCCGAGGGAGAGGAGCCGGTCGCGGAGGTGCGTGGAACGGATGAAGCGGCGCATGAGGAGCGGCACTGCCCCGAACACCATCTCCACCATGAGGATGCCGAAGAAGGCACCCACCCTCATCCCTATCTCCTCTCCGTCCATCCCCATCCCTCCTCTTCTTTTTTTATCGGCTCCTTCGCTCTTCTTTCACCCTCGAGGCCCCTGCACCACTCGCTGACACTGCCGCGCTCACCTCACACCTCGCTCCCGTCTCTTGTTTCTTGGTGCTATGGCCACAAGCCAACAGGGCTGCGTTCTTCCGCTCTTGTTTCGGGGCCGAAATCTGGAATTTTAAACATTCAAGGCTTTATGAAACCCAACATAACTGACATTCCAAATGTCAGCCGGTTCTTCTCGTGGCGTTTTGGCAGGAACGGACATTTCTCTCTCGATTTTTGATAACCGGTCGGCTCTGGTTGTGCGGCTGTACAGGTGGGGCCGAGTCATCAGGTCTCGGCCTGGAGTTGTCGCTCGACTGTCTTGAGGAGCTTCTTGAGGGGCACCCCCTGCACTCGTCGGTTCTTCTCGTCCTGCACGAGCACACACCCAAGAATTTAGATATTTAGATGCACATTCCTTCAGATAAAACACTACACTCTTATAGAACAAGCAAGAGTTAGTTGCTTTTCGTGAAATGGTGGCGCACCTGGAGCCTGGCGGCGAGGCTCGCCGGCAGGTGTCCCTCGATGTGGGTGATGTGGATGCTCGCGTAGGGCCGAGGGTAGTCGCCCCCGATGCGCAAATGGCTGCAATTAATTGTAGGGCTGGATTCAGCATACCGCACACACGACACACACGACACACACGACACACACGACACACACGACACACACGACACACACGACACACACGACACACACGACACACACGACACACGACACGCGTGCAACTTACCATGTAGATCCGGTGCTGAACGTGACGGCAATCTCGCGGTCTCCCACCACCGCGATACCAAACCTGCTCGAGCAGACGAGTCACAACACAAGGCCAGAAGGTGAGCAAGGGACCCAGATGGCGAGGCGTCGCGGTGCAGTGCGGTGCGGTACCGCTGTGAGAGCTTGGCCAGCTCGACCTGCAGGCGCAGGTGGCCGTGCAGGCGGTTCTGGAGCTCGATGACGACGTAGTGGATCGACGCTACTGTCGGCGACACAAACAGGAGATCCTCCACCGGCACGTCGGCCGGGCTCAACTGCGAATTTACAAAAAGATGTGTGAACGACCGCCTCGTGTGTGTGTGTTATGTGTGTGTGTGTGTGTTGCATGTGTGTGTGTGTGTGTCGTGTGTCGTGTGTGTGTGTGTGTTTCGCGTGCGTGGTACCGCGAGCGACTCGAGTGCCATGTCCTCGCGGGGGTTGAAGCGAACGGTGAGCCGGTACTTGCGCTCCGTTTCGAGGCCCTCCACAGTTCGGGGCACCACCGAGATGACGAGCTCGTCCTCGCCCTGGGACTCCACGCTGGCGCCCGACAACCCGACGATCAGTTGCGAGGCCTGGTCGTACCTGCGATTGCACACACACGCGCACGCACCACCACACACACGACACGACACGACACGACACGACACGACCAACGACACACTCTTAGTTCTGCGGCATCGGGGACAGGAGCAAGTGTTGCAATGCGCCATACCAGGTGTGCCTCTGAAGCTCCTCAGCTTCCTCGGGGGCCATGGCCGACTGGAGCGCGGTCAGCTCCTGCTTGGCTGCACATTGCCCGGCGCGACGAGCAATGTGTTAGAAGATAGAAGAAGCAGCAGAAGAAGACAATCACGGCAAACGCGTTACCCTCAACGTAGCGCTTACAGCTCTGCGCCGCCTGGAGCGCCAGCTCCTTCGTCTCCCGCCTCAGCTTTTGGCATCGCTCCATCTCGTACGCGTAGGTCAACTCTTCACGAGCACAAAAGATGGCCAAGGTCAGTCGACCGGTGGTCTTCTTGTAAGCTGTCAATCAGTGTGTGAGATGATCTGTGTACCGGCCTCGTCGGTTTCGATGAGGATGTTCTTGAGAGCTGTGATTTCGTCCTCCTTGGAGTTGAGGTAATCGAGGATGGTTTCGAGCTCGCGATCCCTAATGTCGACCTCAAGGAACTGTTGCTTGAGCTTCATAAATTGCTCCTGTGGCAGCAAACGCGAATCATCAGAATTAATCGAACTGCTATCAAATCATGAAAGATTAGTCTTACATCGTGTGGTGCTATTTCATCGAAGGCAGAGCCCCTGAGTTCGGGCACGTGCTGGGCTGCGGAGAAGATCTTGACGCTCTCCATCTAATCTTTGGTTGTTGGTTCTTGATCGCAACCCCAACCGCACCGCCAACGAGAAGCAAAAAAGGCGGGAAGCCAAAATCTCGTTCCCGCCAATTGAGAAAGTCTGTGATCAATGATGTAGAGTCTTTGTTCTTGATATGTACAACTGTATATACAACGCATAGCATGATATGAGGAAGAGAGAGATCATTTGAGAGAAAGCGGCTTGGAGAAGGTTGGTCGATGTTGGCCCCTCTTGTCGCTTTCGGTGGCGCAGGAGGTGTGGAAAATGGCCTGTGGCGTCGTAGCAGACTTGAGGCTGGTGCTGATGATAGGAGAGAAGGAGAGGACGGCAGATGGAGATGAAGACGCCGAAGATGTGCCGGACGAGAGTGGCAGGCGAGGGTTGCGGAACGGATAGTTGAACGGCGAGTAGGTTCGTCTCTCGATGATGACCTCTTCCTTGTACTTGCCCTCCTTGTATCGAAGCTGCTTGACGAGGACGCCGCGCTGATCGTACCACTTCTGCGAGCCGTGCGGCAGGCCGTGCTGGTACTTGAGCATCGAATCTACTCGTCCGTTGTCGTTCCA